GAAGAATGGATCTTGTATTTGGAAGGCAGCGCCAGAAACACGTTGCTTTTTCCCCTGGAGGCTGACAGGGCTTTGGGCTCCTGGGAGGACCACTAGGCTTGGCTTTCGGAGCGGCTCCCAGACAGCTGCAGCCTCTCCTGCAGTCACTCTGCCCTGGCTCAGCCAGAGGGGGGCTTTGAGGATGCCCAGAGTCTGAGGGCTTCAGAAATTACAGAGCTGGGAGCTCAGCCTATTAGGGTAGGAGCCGCCCCAGCTGGCTGCTGGAGCACGACTGTCAACTGTTTCTGACCAGGAACCATGGTAGGAAAAGCACTTCACATTGTGACTCAGTACACCCATATGTGGGTATCTATTTAAATATAAATATATTTAACTGAAGTATCCTTTCCCTGCTAGGAGATACTCTCTCTTTTTTTTTTTTTTTTTTTTGATGCTTTCTTTTCTTTTTTAAAAAAATGTTGTTGTGACCCATCAAAATGCAGTTTGAAAAACTCTGCCCTAGGCCAAAGGTTTTTCATGAAGGCTCCATGGGTGGGTTTCAGGAGGGGCCCACAATAATGATGGTGATAGTGATAGTGGTGATGGTGATGATGGTGCTGGTGCTGGTGGTGATGATGATGATGATGGTGGTGATGGTGATGGTGGTGATGGTGGTGATGGTGGTGACAGTGATGATGGTTGTGATGGTGATGGTGGTGACGGTGATGATGGTGATGGTGGTGGTGATGGTGATAGTGATGATGGTGATGATGGTGGTGATGGTGGTGATGGTGATGGTGGTGGTGATGGTGATAGTGATGATGGTGATGATGGTGGTGATGGTGGTGATGGTGATGGTGGTGGTGATGGTGATGGTGATGATGGTTGTGACGATGATGATGGTGATGGTGGTGGTGATGGTGATGATGGTTGTGATGATGATGGTGGTGATGGTGGTGATGGTGGTGATGATGGTGGTAGTTGTGATGGTGATGGTGGTGGAGGTGGTGATGACAATGGTGATGATGGTGATGGTGGTGATGGTGGTGGTGACGGTGATGATGGAGACGGGGAGGATGATGATGGTGATGGAGATGATGAAGGCGGCTGCAGTGCATTGAACCAGGCACTGTTTAAGCACTTTACATGGATTAATGGATTTAATCCTTTGAAACAGCCCTATTGAGATGGTATTTTTATCCCTATTTTACAGATGGGGAAATTGAGGCATAGAGAGAGGTTGAGTTACTTGCCATAGGTCACACAGGTAGTAAGAGATGGACCCATTCTCACCCAGGTCTGTCTGACCCCAAGATTGCCTTGAAGTTGGGTGTAAAATTGTGTATATTTGGGGGGGTTGCATTTTCTGTGGTTGTGCCCGGGCAGGCTGGCCGATGTGGGTGTGCCAGTGATAGGAGATGTCTTCTGAGGGGACTGTCCCCAGGCCAACCTACCCAGATGCTATTCCCCAGCCCCAAACACCTGGTCTCCTCACTTGGCAGGTACTTCCTACGGTTGGGGATCCCTTGGACAGCCCAAACCTGGGGATGCTCACAGTCCCTCTGTGACTGTTTCTTACCATCTGTTTCTCTTCCCAGAGCCTCAGAGTGCAGATCCCAGGTCCCCACCTGTATAGGTGGTTCTCCTGGGGCCCACTCATATCTAAGTATGAGAGAATCTTCTCGGTTCCCCCTACAAGAACAAGGCAGGAGCCACGGCCCTCTTCTTCAAGGCCAAAACTTAGGCCAGCAAGGGCTTCGGGAGATGGTGGCCTGGTGTGCTTTGCCCACTTTTAGTAAGTTTTTCTCAGCAGTAGCTGGGGGCTCTCTTTTGAATATGGGGCATCATTCTCAGCTTTGAAGTTTTGGCTGCGATCCCTAGGCAACAGGAAAAGTCCTATTTGACATCTGTTAACACATGGATTCATTCATTCGTTCCTTTATTCCCCTCCTCCGGGCTGGTGCTGGGCACGCAAGGTGAGAGGAAGATTGGGGCAGACAGGGCTTTGAAGGATAAACATGGCATGAGGTCAGGGGCGGGTAGGAGGAGAAAAGGAGGGAACCAGCGTTGCTGGCAGGAGTCCCAGGTGAGCAAGGCTAGTGGTGGAGGGGATTCTGCACGTGTTTGAAATGGCAGAAGGACTCTTGACCCCCAAACGGCCACCCTGGTCACCCATCTTCCTCCTTCACAAACCCATGTTCCAGAAGATGGCACTGCAGGCATGAAGGCTGAGGGGAGAGAGTCAGGTCTGGGTTCAAACATGACTTGCCCCACCCTGGGCACCTCACTGCCCCTCACTGAACCTCTGTCTTCTTATCCAGAAGGTACCTTGGTGGGACTAAATCAGGGTTTTCAAATGGTGTTCCATGAGTTGCCCAGGGTTCCATAGAGGTGCTTTGGGTGACTGCCAACAGGTAGAGCCATTGGGTCAATAGCCAGAGGTCTCAGCCTCGCCACGAAGGGCATATGGGCCGTAAGAGGGATTTTAGTGGCAGCTTTGGGCATGTGAGAGAGACCTTGAAGATGAAAGCCCAGCCCCACTGCTGACTTGTACGGTATGTGCTGGAGGTGAGTGGTAATGAGGTGCCCAGCCCAGGAGTCAGCACACCCAAATCCCAGGCTAGCTCACCTCTTTGAGCCTCTGGTTCCTCGTCTGTAAAATGGGGATACTCTTAGTCCTTAATTCACAGGGTTCTTGTAACAGGTAAACCATCCCTATGATGTACTTAGATGGCACCTGACAAAAAAGTAGGTATGTGGGAAATGCAGGTGATAATTTCTGTTCTCAAGCTCCTCATCCATGAAACAGAAAGAAAGAGACCCATCTGCCCACCCTCGCTGCTGGCATGAAGATCCCTGAGGTGACAGGTGGGGAGGTGACGAAGGTGATGATAGTGATGGTGGTGATGATGACTGTATAGATGTCCTGGGGCCACATAACTGATCACCACAGACTTGGGGGGCTTAAAACAATAGGCATTTATTCTCTCACAGTTTGGAGGCTGGAAGTCTGAGATCAAGGTGTCACCAGTGTCTGTCCTTTTTGAGGGTCCTGAGGGAGAATCTGTTTCGTGCCCCTCTCCCAGCTTCTTGTGGTGGCTAGAAGTACTTGGCGCCCCTTGGCTTGTAGACAACATCACTCCGATCTCTACCTCCATTGTCAATGGCCCTTTTCTCTCTGTGTCTCTGTGTTTTCACATGACCCTCTCATAAGGACACCAGTCACTAGATTAGCGGCATGCCCTAATCTGGTATCACCTTATCTTAACTTGATTATATCTGCAAGGACCCTGTTTCTAAATACGGTCACATTCACAGGTCCTGGGGGTTCATACTTCAACATATGTTTTTGGAGGACACAATTTGACCCACAACAGTGGTGATAGTGATGTTGGTGATGGTGATAGTGCTGGTGATGGTGATGGTGATGGTGGTGATTGTGGTGGTGGTGATGGTGATGGTGATGGTGGTGATCATGATGGTAGTGATAATGGCAATGATGATGGTTATGGTGGTGATGATGGTGGTGATGATGGTGATGGTGGTGATGATGATGATGGTGATGGTGGTGATGGTGGTGATGGTGATGGTGGTGATGGTGATGGTAGTGATGATGATGATGGTGATGGTGATGATGATGATGATGGTGATGGTGATGATGATGGTGATGGTGGTGATGGTGATGGTGGTGATGATGGTGATGACGGTGATGGTGGTGATGGTGATGGTGGTGATGGTGGTGATGATGGTGGTGATGACGGTGATGGTGGTGATGGTGATGGTGGTGATGGCGGTGATGGTGGTGGTGATGATGGTGGTGGTGGTGATGGTGGTGATGATGGTGGTGGTGATGATGGTGGTGGTGGTGATGGTGGTGATGATGGTGATGATGGTGGTGATGACGGTGATGGTGGTGATGGTGATGATGATAGTGATGGTGGTGATGCTGATGATGGTGGTGTGATGGTGGTGGTGGTGGTGATGGTGGTGATGATGGTGGTGGTGATGATGGTGGTGTTGGTGATGGTGGTGATGATGGTGATGGCAGTGATGATGATGGTGGTAGTGATGACGATGATGACTTTGTAAACACTAAAGGACTATGTTAATGTGGGATCTTATAATGACTTAGGCTCAAGGGAAATTCATAGTAGGGATGCTTTTGTTAGAAATGAAAGCCCAATCAAATGGCTTTATGTTGCCCATATAACTGAGAAGTGCAGAGGTGTGGTGGGTGACTGGTGCAGTTTTGATCCAGTGGGCTCCCCTGGGCCATGTGGTCCAGCCATGGCCCTTTGGGACAGCTTAATAGCTATTAACAGCTTCCAAGGCAAGAAGCTCACTGGTTGATATGCAGGGATGAGAGCATCCTCTTCTCTCATCATCAAAAGAAGAAATATTTGGGATCCTCACCAATGGGAAGGATCTAGGTTACATATTCACCATTGAGCCAATCCAAGGGAATCACTTGCACTGCTCAGTCTAGGTCTGAGTTGAGATTCCATTAATTGGCCTAGGTCCCTCTGGCCCTGCCCTTAGAGCCGGGGATGGACTCAGCCTGGCTGGGAGCTTCAGCGGAAAGCAGGAATCAGCATCCTCTACTTGGAAGCCATTCTCTCTGGGTTTGGTCTCAACCTGCCCCAACTGTGGGCAGGAAGGCGAGTGAGCATGTTCTTCTCTGAATTTCCTTAGAGGAGCTTGGAGCAAGAGAGGTCTTTGGCTGAAGCTGATTCTTTTTAAACTTTCCTTTTGAAAAAATCACAGAAATAATATTTATTCATCCTAGAAAAACAGAAACTGTGTTGAAAGAAGGGGAAAAGAGAAGAGGATGCCAGAGACATCCCACAGCCCGCAAGTTGGTCAGGATTCTGGCTAAGTCCAGGCGATCTCCACCTTTACTTTGAGCTTCTAGTCATCAAGCCTGTCCTGATGACCATTTGGCACTGCAACTTGCTTCCCCTTGCTGTGACCGCCCCACTCTCTCAGTGGCCCTCTCTGAACTGCCTTCTCTTCTTCCATAGGCAGCCCTGGTTTTATGGCTGGGGCTTTAACCTGCCTCGAGGCCAAGCACTGCTAGAGAAATGGAACCTCATTCCCGAAGGCGTAGACATCCTGATAACCCATGGACCACCACTGGGTAAGAGTCAGCTGCCCTCGCCTTGGCTGGCCCGTCCCCCAGTGGGCCTGCTTGTGCTGGGAGTGGATGCAGAGGGTGTGGGTGTTGAGAGGGGCGGGGTCTGGCCCTGCCTGAGCACAAAGATCAGCCCGGATGAGCTCTGTTCTGAGTCTGACTTGCTGTGGCATTGGGGACATGGCCCCCCTTATTTCCTGAGCACCTACTATGTGCTAGGGATTCAGCTTGTTACCTCGTGGACTCCTCGCAGCCCCCCAGGGAGGTCAGAATCAGCTGCCCATTTTCCACACGTTGCATACTGGAGCTCAGGGACGTGGAGAGGCAGGGCTGGGCCCTTGACCTGCATCCTGGGGGCATAAGACCTTCAAGGTCACTCTCTGGGCTTCATCCTGCACATCCCTCACCCCATCCCAACAGTCTCTAGGGCCTGTGGGTTCCACCCTCAACAACTCTCTTCCCAGGCCCCACTGCCACCTCCCTGGTCCAAGCTGATGTCACTGTTCACACAATCTAACTGCCTCTGGGCCCCCCTGGCTGTCCCATCAGGGGGCTTTCTCAGGCCTCCCCTCCCCCTCTCCTCACACACACTTCCTGTCCATCTGCACGTCCCTCCGATTCCACCTCCAAACTGGTTCCCAGCTCTTTCCTCTCCTCTCCACCATGCCTGTCCCCACCTGGGTCCAGGCCAACGTCTTCTGTCCCTTTGATGACTGCCATGGTCTCCTCACTGGTCCCCCAGCCCCGAGTCTTGCCCCTTCCACTCTACTCTCCTCACATCAGTAGGAGGGAGTTCTCTGAATCGGCAGCTATGCCATGCCATCCCTCTACAACCCTTCATGGCTCACCTAGGCCTTAGAATGCTGTCCAAACTCCCAGCAGCCCAGCCCCTCCAGCCTCCCCCTCCTCCTGCTGCCTCCACAGAACCTGCCATCACTCCCACAGCATTTGGGGCCGGAGCAGGCGATGCTGGGCAAGGGGCGAAGCTGAGCCATGCTCATCTCCAGGGTTTGCAGGCTGCGGGGTTAGAGGGGCGCAGAATGGCCAGGCCTGGTGGGACCTTTCTCTCCCTCCCTCCCTCCCTGTCTCTCTCTGTCTCCCTTCCTCCCTCTTTGTCTCTCTGTCTCCCTCCCTCTCTGTCTCTCTCTGTCTCTCTCCACCCTCCCTCCCTCCCTCTCCCACCCTCCCTCCTTCCCTCTGTCCGTCTCCCTCCCTCCCTCCCTCCCTCCCTGATCACTAAGGCAGTGGCAGCAGCAGCCTGCCTGAGTCAGTGACTCAGAGGATCCCCCTTCCCCTTCCGAGCATGCAGAAACCTGTTTCACCCACCCAAACAGAGAGGGGCCGCGATGAACCCTAGCTGCTCGCTTGGAGTCATCAATTATTCTTCGTTTGTGTAGCCATGTGAGGATAATAAGCCGCCACCATATGGGGCGGCTCCGGGAGGCTGGCGGTGTGAGCAGACCCAGACATAGCCACGTGAGCCAGGCTGCGGTGAATGGAGTTCATTTTCGTGATTTTGTGATGTTTGTTTCAAAAGTTTCCGACGTGGAAATCTCGCTCCTGGTTCTGCTCTGTTGCCAGCCCACTAGGGTGCCCTTGGGCCTCACCCGTCCCTTTCAGGCCTCGGTGTGCTTGTCTCTGCAATGGGTGGATGGCACCCTTGAGGCCGCTCTGAGCACAGGTCATGGGGGGGGCTCACTTGCCACCCTAGGTGCCTGGCCCACTCGGGGCTCTTGTAAGCATGGCTCTCTGGGTGGCCCTGCAGAGGAGTGGGTCCAGGTGACCAGGCCCCAGGTGGCACGTGGTAGAGCCATGGGCTTTCCCTCCCTGAAGGCAGGGACAAGGTGGCCTTGGGAGAGCTTGCTGGGAACTGGGGGGCGGGTTCTGCCCGATCCCTGAGTCCAGGATCTCGTGTCCCTGAGTCGCAAAAGCTGTGGCGTGGGGTCTGCGGGGCTGGGGGCCTGGCCGCCTGGACCCCGTCACTGCCCTCCTGTCCTCTCCTTACACAGGCTTCCTGGACTGGGTCCCCAAGAAGATGCAGCGGGTGGGCTGCGTGGAGCTGCTCAACACGGTGCAGAGGCGCGTCCAGCCACGGCTGCATGTCTTTGGCCACATCCACGAAGGTTGGTGTGGGGGGTGGGGGAGGGGCTCCTCGCGGGCCCTGTAGAAGGGCTTCCTCACCTCCCTTCAAGCCAGTCACCTCCTCCCTGCTCTCAGCCCCTTCCTGACATTCGCTCTGTAAATGCTTTATCTGCACTTGACCATCAGTTAGCTACTGCTGAAATGTTTAATGATGGGAAGACAGTTGTAAAATCTAGCAAGACTTAGGGGTAAGTTTTACGCCCTTGGAGCGCTGCGACTCTGCTATGCCTCCAGCCTGGGAAGTCTTTGGGATGTGGGCAGGGAGCTTTCTGGAGGAGGGGACACTGGATGGAACATGGAGGATGTGTTAGGTTGGGTAGGCACACTGTGAGCTCCTTAAGGCTGGCAGCCCGGTCTTGTCGCCTACATCCCTACAGCCTGGCATACAGTCGGTGCTTAATAAATGTGGAGGGCCACTTGCTTGCCTGAGACATTCTGGTGGTACCTTACGTCCACCCCCACCACACGCACAACAGACCTGGCGTTCTGGCTCTGTTCCTGGGGGGCTGGGGCCACTTGCTGTGTCCACATAGTTCGAATGGTAGGGGGCGTTTACTGCCCGTTGGGGGGCAGTGGACCGGGTGGCCATGATGGTGCTGGGTGGTGTCAGCTCCAGCCCTGGCTCCCCACAGCCCCACGTCCCGCACACAGGCTTTCCTTATTAGACCTTGGGTTTCCTCCCTGGAGCTTCATTCATCAATCTGGCAGACCCCTCTTTTGCTCCGTTTGAACCTTCATCCCACCTGCCCCTGGCCTCCCCGTCCCAACCCACTCTACCAGAAAGCACATGGGCTCCCTTGGGCCATGGGGACTGATATGTTTTCCCCTAGAGTTGTCTCCCAGCTTCTTGAACCTCACATATGCTTGGTCCTCATCAGATCATTTTCCAACTCAGAAGCAAATAAGTCTCAGCCCTTTCCCTGAGGGCCACTGCCAGGTGTTGTTGGAGGGCAGGAGTGATCAGATCTCCCCTGGCCCCAAGGAGATCACAGAGGGGCAGCAGATAGGCAATAAAAGGCAGAATCTGAGAAGTCATGGGATGGACAACCCATGTGCTGTGGGATAGCAATATGGCTGTCATTTTCTGTAGCCCAACTATGGGCATGGAATGCTATCAGATCCCAGGTGGTGTGTGATCCAAACCACATTCCTGCACAATTGCATTTGGGGGATCCAAAGAATGGGTAACCTGCAAGAGGAGGGGAAATGTCCTTTCTGGCTTTGAGGTGATCTGAGCTGAAGGATGAGGATTCTAACAAGTAGACATGGCGGGAAAAGAGTATAATAGCAGAGGCTAAGAGAAGAAAGTACATGATGATGGTGATGATGGTGGTAGTGATGGTGGTGATGGTGATGGCAGTGGTAGTGGTGATGGTGGTGATGATGATGGTGGTGATGATGGTGGTGATGATGTGATGATGGTGATGATGGTGGTGATGGTGATGGTGATGGCAGTGGTAGTGGTGATGGTGGTGATGATGATGGTGGTGATGATGGTGATGGTGTGATGATGGTGATGATGATGGTGGTGATGATGGTGGTGATGATGCTGATGATGGTTATGATGATGGTAGTGATGGTGGTGATGGTGATGATGATGATGATGATGGTGGTGATGGTGGTGATGGTGGTGGTTGTAGTGGTGCTGGTGGTGATGATGATGGTGATGGTGATGGTGGTGATGGTGGTGATGATGCTGGTAGTGATGGTGGTGATGGTGGTGGTGGTGATGGTGGTGATGGTGGTGATGATGGTGGTGGTGATGGTGATAATGATCACTGAAGATATCTCACTGTGTGCTCTCCATGTGCTTCCCAGGCACTGGGCTGGACACTGTATGTGGATTAGTATCTCATTTGCTCCTTACTGCAGCCTGGGAAGGAGCTCTGTCATCATCACCTCTATAGATGAAGAGGCTAAGTTGAGGGTTTTGGTAGCTTGCCCCGGATGTGTTCCGCCTGCTGTAGCCGAATGCTCTACTACCACGCCCACTAGGCCACCTCACTGCCCTGGGTCCCGGCCTTACCCCTCAGCCCTGACGGCTGTGTGCTTACTTTCCAGGGTACGGTGTCATGGCGGATGGGACAACCACCTATGTGAACGCGTCTGTGTGCACCGTGAACTACCAGCCTGTGAATCCACCCATAGTCATTGACCTCCCCACACCCCGGAACTCCTGACTGCCCTTGCTGTCTCAGCCCTTCCTGCCCACATCAGTTCCATATGCCTGGCCAAGAGCACGGACCCCCAACCACCCTTCCTTCCATGCAGACAACCCGTCTGGCCGTGGGGAGCAGCCCAGCAGATGGGTTGAGGCTTTGGAATGAAGAAAATCTCCCCTGACTCTTCAGCCTCCGTCACCTGGAGTCAGGACCCTGTGGGTCCCTATTAGGGGTTCTGTGCTCATTACTGTTTTCTGCGTGTACATTTCCGCGTGTACCTTGTCAAAGGACCTAACAAGCTTGCGGTCCTGTCCTGCTTGGGAATTGACGGACTCTTCATCCTTCTCAGTTGGACACCCTCGTGGGTTTGGGAAGCCGCGGCTCCTGGACACACTCTGGAAGTTCTCGCACAAAATCTCCCTCTAACTGAGGGTCTGTGTGGCTGCAAGCCCCAGGGTTGGGGTTGGGTGGGATGTTTTAGAGCCCATGTGCAAGTAGCCCGCCATCTCCCTCCAGGGTTGGGGAGACAGGGCTGCTTCACAGCTGAGGCCCTCGAGGGAGCGATCAGGGACGTCTCAGGAATTCGGACCGCACCTGGCCAGGCCAACAAGCTGTCTGCCTCATCTTGTGACCCTGCTTTCTTCCTGTGGGCATCTTGGCCGTCTTGAACAATGGCCTGAGCATCCCAGGTGCTTGCTCGGGGCCTGGATCCGGGGGAGTTGTTCTACAGAACGAGCCATGTGAGGGCCCAGGACCAGATGGAAGGTTCCTGAGTCACGGATGGGCCCTGTTCCTGTGGGGGCTTCGCAGCTCTGCAGAACTCGGGAGGCTGGAGGGGCTGCAGACCGAGGCCACCCTGCCACGTGGATGCGCCCGTGTGGGCGTGCACCCCCCTGCACACACACAACGTCCTTCTTAACTTAATGAAGTGGACCCATGTTTCTCCCTACTGTCCTCCAGTGGGGTTCCATCCCTCAGTGTGGTTTCCCGCGCACCATTTGGGTTCTGTCTGGTGGGCCCACAGCCGAAGGGGCTGAGTGGTTCCTGGTCCTTGCCAGTCTGTCCCGTTAACGGGAGGGTGGCCCACTGGCAGAGTGCGCCCTGGGCTCTGGCAGCTTCACGCAGGGCGGCTTCTTTTTTTTCTTTAAATTAGGACTTGGGCTGGAGCGGGGGGGTGGTTGGGGCTGAATCCGTGAAGGAGAGAGAACCAGCAGGGTCTCATCAGAGTGAGGCCAGAGAGGCAGGATCGCCGTGCAGCGTCAGATTCTATCTTTATTGAAAATTTTGATATTTTGTTCATCATGGATATTTTTCTGAATCAATTTTGATTTTTAAAGACATGGGATTAAATAGCACCCTTTCTCTCTCTTGCCGAGCTTTTTGGTAGCCCCTTAAATCAGGCGCCTGAGGGGAGGGCCTTACTCCCCTCACCCTAGGCCCTGCCCTGGGAGCCAGCACTTAGCACGCCCCTTTGCAGGTACAATCTCCATTCATCACAGGTGGTCATGCAAGGTCAGCTCTGTTGGCCCCATTTTAGAGGTGAGGAGATTGAGATAAGAGAGGTGACGTAACTTGCCTGAGGGTGCACTGTTCAAAGCGGGCAGAAGCAGGGCTTGAGCCTTGGTCTCTGGTTCCACGGCCTCTGCTTTGCCGTGGCTCAAAGCTCCGCCCCTCCAAGGCAATGCATGGTCCCAAGGCTCTTTTCTTTTCTTTTTTTTTAAGGGTCCTGTTCAGAGCCCCTCTGGTTTGTCTCTCAGAGAGAGCCCCTGGAGTGCTGAGGGTTCCTGTTCTCTGAGCCCAGCACCCTGGCATCCCGGGAGACCATGATTCCTTCTCTACTCGCACGGGGCTCCCCAAGGGGTGAGGGGCACCCTGGGCGAGGGGAGCCTGGCAGCAGCAGCGCGGACCGGAGCCAGCTGCGCTCTGTGGGGTGTGGGACTTCGGGAATCTGTTTGGCCAAGTGGTTCCTGGTGGCTGCGGATGTTTACAAGGTCTCTGGGGAAGCCCAGATGCGTGGCGCGTGGGCACGTGTGGGATGAAGACACAGGCCCTTTTAGTCACCTCTACCGAATTTCTATGCGGACCAAGAACTATAAACTTAAAATTTTTTTTTCCTAAGGTACCTTCAGAATATGGTGTATTTTTATGTGGAAAAGAAAAGTTATGAAGGCAGCTGTTACTTTGAAAGAAAATTCATTAAAAGTCCTTGAGGTATGAAAGATGATGGCGTGCTCCTCAATCATTTTGGCATAACTTGATTGTGGCTGTAATTTTTTATTTTTTTTTTTTGTCAAGCATGTCAGACAATAAAGTCTTTGTAAAAAGAAAGAGATGTCCACGTGACGCCTCTTCCTGTGTATGTCTCTGGATGTCATGTGAGGCACGTGGGGGAGGAAGGGTGTCCTCCCGGCCCAGTCCTGAGTCCTGGACAGAGTCCAGAGGCCAAGGACCTTCCATGTGGCAGCAACTGGCATCCTTTTGCTTGCTCCAGCTTCCCCAGGGGTGGGGCAGTCTCAGAAGTGGTTGGCATGGGCTAGTCTGTGCCCAATGACGTTCAAGTATCCCGACTGCCTGATTCCTCAAAACAGTGTACCTCAAGATGGTCTTGGCTCTGGGCCCTTCTCGGAAGCAGTATGTTCAACCCAGCCCTTGTCAAACTAGGGGTCTGAGTGTTGCCCAGGAAAAGCACTGACAGGTAAAATGACTTTCGTCTCAAAGCTGCCTAAGCTGTAAAAGTCCCACCATTTCCTTCCATCCGTCCATCATCCACCCATCCATCCACCCACCCACATTCCCATTCATGGACCCATCCACCCACGCCACATTCACGGCTCACTTCCCGTGGGCCTGCCTTGGACTAGGGAGGTGGTGATAGATTAAGAAGGTAGGATTGCTGAGGGACTGATGTGGGGGGGAGGTGAGGGAGAGCCAGGGATGGCAATGGATGTTGGCTGCCAGTCGTGGAGGGGAGAATGAGAGTTGGAAGAACAGGTTTGAGGAGGGATGCTGAGTTTTATTTGGGACTGGAGCTGGAGGTGCACTTGGGATATTCAGGGGAAGGGTCCAGCGGCTGGAAGGATAAATGGACCTGGAGGAGGAGGAGCCTCCCTGAGATCTGCGTTTGTGGGTCATAACCAAAGCCATGGGTCTGGAAGAGCCGTCCCACAGGGGTGCATGGAGGGCAGGGGGAGCCGCCCGGGGCGGACTGTGGGTGTCAGCCTCTCCGTGGCCCTTTCCTGTCCTCAGACTGTCCCACCTGTTACCGGTCCCTCCACCAGGGCCTTGCAGGTGCCTACAACAACTTGTCCTGGGCCTTGGCTCCCCATCAGTGGGCAAGGAGGAGGAGCCACTCGACTTGAGGTAGCCTTGGCTGCTGTCCTTGGCCAATGTGAGCCCAAGCAGGCCTCCCGGGCGGGGGCAGGGACCCTCTGGGACAGCTGCTGTAGGCCCCCCTGTAGTGCCTGGGTCCTCACTGAGACTCCAGACACAGCCGCTGCTGAGCCACATGCTCCTACTGCCCTCAGTGTAGATGGGCTGTCTGGGGTTTGGACAAGTGGTGGAGGGGGTCCCACAGCAAAGGTGCCTGGGCACCCAGTGCCTCAGCTCTTGGTGGTTCAGGACTCAGGGCTCATGCACACTTATAGGGTGGCATCTCAGATAACCCTCTTATTGTCCATGAGAGTCTAGTGAGCAAATCCCGTGAGCTGTCTCCCCTGCTTAACTTCACTTTCTACAAGAGACCCCTGCCCAGCCCCTGGAATAAACTAGTGGAGGTGACAAGCTCTGTGGACAAGGGCTTCATTGCTCTCCCCTAATGCCACCCACAGTTCCCAGCTGGGCCCAAGCCTGCCTGGGGGCCCTCAGTCCCACCCTCCCATGGAAGGCACAGACTATGAAGGTCTCCAAGACCTGAGAGTCAGGCTCTGCTGTCTGGAAGCTCGCAGTGTACTTTGGAAGGCTCATCTAATCCCCGAAAAGAAGTGGAACCCTTCAGGTCTTACATGCTTGGGGCCTAGAGGGTGACAGAGGGGGCAGGCTTGGGGGCCCTGAGTCCCCTGAGTACAGGGGAGATCGGGGAAAGCTTCCTGGAGGAAGGAGTGTGGCTGGGCCCTGAACCACAGAACATGATTTTCCGGTTAAAAAAAAAATACCTTTTTATTTTGAAATAATTTTAGATTCACAGAAGAGTCGCAAGGTGGTATGGAGGGTTCCTCGATACCCTTCACCCAGTTTCCCCTGATGTGAACATGTTGCATAACTGAGATGCATTTACCAAAACCTAGGAAATGAACGCCAGTACAACACCATTACACTATAGGCTTTATTTGGATTTCAACAGTTTTTGATTAATGTCCTTTCTCCATTCCAGAATCCAGTGCACACTACCATGCTGCCTTTAGTTGTCACGTGTCCACAGTGACGGTTTCTCAGTCTGTCCTCGCTTTGCCTGACCTTGGAAGTTTTGAATACTGGTTCAGTATTCTGTAGAATGTCCATCAAGTTGGGTTTGTCTGATGTTTCCTCATGATCAGCCTGGTGTTGTGTATTATGAGAATACAACACAGCCGGTGGGTCCTCAAGGCACCTGAGATCACCCCTTGTTAACCATGACTTATCACCGTTGATGTTGATCTTGAGCACATGGCGGAGGTGATGTCTGCCGGGTTTCTCCACCATAAAGACGCTAGTGTTCCTTTTCCATCCTCTGTTAGAAGACAGACTCCACTAGTCTAGCTCACGGTCAAGGAGAGGTGACTGATGCTCTCCCTTCCTGAGGGAGCGGCGGCAAAGAATATGCGTACACAGTTAAAATCACATTAATTAATAAATATTTGGGGGAGGTATATTCAGGCTATGCAAATGTCCCAGTTCTCCTTAAAGTTTTGTCTACTAATTTCAGCGTCTATCTATGGATTTTGCCTGGAACAATGATTACTGAGGCACTCTCATGGCGATTTTCTAATTCTTCTTTGCTCATATGTTTATTATTTGGAATTATTCTGTAAGGAAGATTTGTCCCTTCTCTGCCATTTATTTTCTATCAGCACAGACTCGTGGTTATTTATTTTATTCGTTAGGTTAAAATCTAGTACTATCATTATTTATTCCGTGGCTCAAATTGGTTTAACTTTGTCCACTGGGAGCTCTTTCCAGTTGGCTCCTGTGTTCTTTTGACATATTCCTATCTCTTGTTTGACTTCCTTGATTTCTGGCATTACAAGATGCTCCAAGCCCATCATGCATCTTCCTTGCCCCAGCCCTAGAATTAGCTATTTCTCCAGAGAGTTCTAAGTCCTTTTATTTAGAAAGTAAGATCTAGGTGGTAGATGTGCTAGTTGCTACTAGGGTATTACTATTTCTAGGTCCTCACAATGGACAGAGTGAGGAAATATATGAGTGTACTAATCCATCTATATGCTCATTTATCTCTCCTACGTCTATATCCACCCACCCACCCA